ATTGGGTGATCATTGCCTGCAGCTTCAGAGCATACTGGCTATGCTTTGGACAGAATATCAGAGAAGGATATTGATCTCGTGTCATGCTTGTGGGCTTCCTTTCTGGATAGCCACTGTGGGAAACCAGGGATTGGTCTAGGAATTTCTATTTAAAAACAACAACAAAGTTGCAGTGATTCTGATTCTCTTCTTTCACCCAACCAAATCACCTCACTTTGTATTCTTTGGGGTGGGATTAGAGAATCAGAGCAGCATTTGAATTGCTGCCAAGAAAAAGTATCAGTTTCCAAAAGGAAAGAAATGATCCTTGTAGGTTAGATACAGCCTTAGAAGGAATTACATCTGTCTGTTCCTGGATGGCTAGAAAGCAATACAACCCCCTTATCCCCCTTCCAAAACCCCTTCTTTATGGGACTGGTAAAATTAAATTTCCACGTGGATATTCATTGAGAAATCCATCCCAGCTCTGAGGTCAAGTAGCAATTTGGCTGCACAAACATCTTCCTCCTGCAGAGTTCATTGTAACCCTAGATCTGATTCTACCAGTGAAGTCCAAAAATGAGCCAGTTTTAAATGTGAACCCAGTTCTTCCCCCAAAGATTCAACATGCTCTGTTTTAAAAACAGCAACCTTGCTCTGCTTTTAACATTTTTTTCCATGCCTCTAACCAACTCTGTGGCTTTGGCTGGTACCTGAAGCTGAAATGTATAAAGAGTTGCAGCTTGGCCAATTCCCCCAAAATGAGTGGAAACTGTATTAAAGAATAATTTTTGAAATTTCCAGCTGTCTTGCCAAGCAGTCACTGATGAATTTGGACGAACTGTGGATAACTGAAATCTTTCCAGTACTGATGAAATATCAATTTACAAGTTCTTAAAGGAAAGGACTACTGTTAATCTGTATCAGACATATAAGTTTCCTGATTGCCATTTAATGATCCTTTCTTTTGCTACTATTAATGTGCAATCCTACATGTGTCTACTTAGAATTAAACCTGGTTATGCACATTTCTTGTTGACTCCCAGCCTACTATTATGTTCACTTTTAGGCATACTTGGATTTAATTTATTTTTAACTGGTATCACATTGGCATTTTAGCTAAACAATCCACAGCAAAGTGTTGGGAAGCAGCCAAAAGAGAAGGAACCCTAGATGTTAGTAATTATCTATGTTTCTCCCATGCACCAATTAAATTCAAAGGACTTGTCTCCGTAGAAATTCAGATATGCAAGAAGGCTTAGCTTGCAACAAATCACTAAACTGTGGCAGCGCTGTGGTTAGAATGCAGTACTGCAGGCTACTTCTGCTGACTGCCAGTTGCCAGCAGTTTGGCAGTTCAATTCTCATGGGCTCAAGGTTGACTCAGCCTTCCATCATTCCGAGGTTGGTAAAATGAGGACCCAGATTGTTGGGGGCAATATGCTGACTCTGTAAACCACTTTCAGAGGGCTATAAAGCCCTGTGAAGCAGTATATAAGTCTAAGTGCTATTCCAGCCAAGCAACCCATGAAGCAGGGGTGAAATCCAGCAGGTTCTGACAGGTTCTGGAGAACTGGTAGTGGAAATTTTGAGCAGTTCGGAGAACCTGTAGCAGAAATTTTGAGTAGTTCAGAGAACTGGCAAATACCACCTCTGGCTGGCTCCAGAATGGGGTGGGAATGGAGATTTTGCAATATCCTTCCCCTGCCACACCCACCAAGCCACACCCACAGAACCAGTAGTAAAAAAAATTGGATTTCACCACTGCCATGAAGTGTCCTAACAGACCAGACCAGAAGCACCCAAGCTTTGAGATATTTAAACTAGGTAACCCCTGAGACATGCCTCTCCATTCCTGATGATGCAAGTATGGAATTTACATTGTTTGTTTGTGTAAAAGGCCATGATACTCATCCACCACCACTACCATTGCCCAATAGATGCCTTTGCTTCCTTCTGTTTTTCTGAGTCCATATAAGAGTGCAAATCAATAGCATGTTTATTCATCATAGGGATGATCCTTAGTAACTGTACAAGTCACCCAGTGTTTTCAGGTGCTGTTGGCCAGCAATACAAGTAGTCCTCGACTTACAATCACAATTGAGCTCCAAATGTTTGTTGTTAAATGAGACATCTGCTCAGTGAATTTTGCCTCATTTTATGTCCTTTCTTACCTCGGTTGTTAAGTGAATCACTGCAGTTGATTAGTTAGTAACCCAGTTGTTAAGTGAACCTGGCTTCCCCGTTGATTTTGCTTGTCAGAAGGTCACAAAATAATCTTGGGACACAGCAACAATCATAAATATGAACCCATTGCCAAGCATCTGCATTTTGATCACGTGATCATGAGGTTGCTGGAAAGGTCGTAACTGTGAAAAACAATCATAAGTCACTTTTTTCAGTGCTGTTGTAACGTTGAAGGTCACGAAACAAAACTGTTGTAAATTGAGGATTATCTGTATTTTTCTTTGTATGCTTTCAGGCAAAGTCTTTTCTCTTTTAAGTAGGGCAATTTTCTCAGATGATCAAGTGTGCACTTCCCTATTCCTTCTGATTGTGGCAGTTACACAACTCCACAACCACCACGACTATGATTCCAATCACATATATTTGGAGACACTGTCTTTTCCTGTTCAAGTGGATTGTTACTTCAGTGAAGAAAACAAAAATCCTGACATAAGGGATGGTATGTCTAACTCCATTGCTTTTGGGGGTGGGAGGGTTGATACTTGCATGACACAAAAGTTTTACTCATGAAACCCATTATGGTAGTTATAGGAGCACAGTCAATGAGTGCCTGCTCAAGTATCTATCAACTGCGAAGCTGACTATCCAATTCACATAAACTTCACAGAATTCAGTAATGGCAGTTTTGAACCAATCTCTCCAAAGAGCAGGACTAATTTGCTCCTGCCTGCTTGCTCTGATTTAGGCTTGTTTGTTTATATTTTGAAGGAGCAAAACTCTCTTGGATGAGTAATGCATGTATTTTGTTTATTAAATAAACTCTGAAAAGCGCACTATCAAATTTTGATAGCGGGCTGCCAAATTTTGACCATGTGATTTTGGACAAATTCAAGGGGTCCAGGGTCACATGGAATCCATGGCCAAAGAATGATTCATTTCTGTTCTATATTCAGCACAGAAGCTGGAATTTTCAAATATTTGCATCCAATAGATTCATAGATAGGAAGAGAGTCATTTGATTTGACACAGGCAACTAGAGAGGGGAGGGAGAGGTGGGGAGAGAGAATGGATGATAGATAGATAGATAGATAGATAGATAGATAGATAGATAGATAGATAGATAGATAGATAGATAGACAGAGTGGGCGGGCAGGCAGGCAGGCAGGCAAACAGACAATTTTCCCTAGCTGCTTTAGATATGGTCTTTCTGGAAAAAGTTGACAAATAAAATTAACTTATCCCATCTATTTACATGATTCAGAATGCTGGAGGAAAATTAAGATGTGCTTGCTAAGAGATACAGCTGCTCTTGCATACCTTTACACAATCCCGTAATTAATCACCCAGAAGATTGCAAAGAGTAGAACTATATTCAAGAACAAATTACTATTGTCATTAATTACTAAATTGCATCACTAAAGAATTTCATAAGTATATGCAACTTCAGTCTGACCTTGCAGAATCACCTTGCCCCATCTTGAGGTAGCAAACATGTGATGGAGACATGCTTTAACAGTCACTGGATGTAGACTGATCGGCCCACTTCCCCAATCATTTTGTGAATAGCAGTTTTGGTGCATGCACTCTTCAGCACTAAATAGAAATGGGACAATCCTTTGCTTGGCAAAGGGATTCTGAAGAGTTGCTACACCCAGATTGGATCCTGCAACGTTGCTTGCCTAGAAAATACTGCAATGATTTGTAATTTGCACATTATCTTGCATTTCCAAACTTCAGTGTCGATGTACACTGAAGTTCTAAACAATGATCTAACCCAGGGGTCTCCAATCTTGGCAACTTTAAGACTTGTGGACTTCAACTCCCAGAATTGCTCAGCCAGCTGAGAATTCTGGGAGTTGAAGTCCACAAGTCTTAAAGTTGCCAGGGTTGGAGACCCCTGATCTAAACCACACAATCATGTTCCATATTTGTTCATATATAACAATTAACATTTTAGCTGCTTCTTCTCCTGTAATTTTAAATAGTTCAGTAAATAATTCATCTTTACCCGGAGCTTTCATACTTGGCAGGTCGCCTATTATCCATGGTACCTCATTTTCTAGTGAAATCAGTTTCCCCTACAAATAGCTCTATAATCCCATTTGTAAAAGGATTCAGTATAGTCCTTGTAACTTTCTCTGACACATTTCTTCTATCAGATCTTTTCCACAGTTATGTTAACTTATTTCTACAGCTAGTCATTTTCTTTGATTTTTATGAGAAGCCCTCTCATTTCCATGTCCTTGTTTCCACACCTTCCTTCATTTAATATTTGATTAAATGATATTTATATCATTCTATTTCCAAAGACTTTCATGCTCTATTTTTCCTGGTTATGATAGCTTATTCTGAAAGTAATTTAGATATTTTCCTATTTGGGGAAATTTTAGGAAGATCTTCTTTCCTAGCCCCTTTGGTTCTCTTTCAGATAAATGAAGCATAAATGTATCAGACCACAACCAAATTTATATTTAGCAAAATCCTTTTTGAGTGCTATTGCCCCTTTTTCATATGATCTCATGTCTCAAATAGTAACAATATATCCTATAATCATTTGAATTTGTGGCCCATTCTGGTCTACCTAGTAGGGTTGCTGTCAGCTTAACAAAATACTCTCACTTATAACATGTTGAACGTATCCATGAACAAATGTTTCTATAAAATACAAACTATAATCTCACTAATTAGGCATATATAACATGAGAATTTTTATTAGAATTAATGCTTCCAATTATGATCAACGGATTTCCACTGGTTTAAATACATTTGTCCTTATTTGAAATGAAATTTGAACAATAATACAATTTGCCAAAAATCACAAATGAAAACTAAAGGCAATTATACTTTTTATTTTTAAAAAAATAGTAATCTTTAAAAATATGCGGTCAGTGGTGCATGTTTTCAATCTCTCTCCTTAAAGATACTTGCAGACGTTATAAAGATTTTTCCATGTGGAGGACAGTCTATCCATTCACTAGACATAGGCATTGACCTCCACTGGGGGAGGGCAAAAGGAGCTAAGTGATGAAATGTTCGTGGTGAGTCACATCAGAAAACCTGTGACTTATATATTGGGAGCCAATTTTGAGATGGAAATACAAAAGGCTGGGATTTATGTTGTGACATCACAATGCACATTTCACAATTTTTCTTCATGACAGTTTTGCAACAGATGCCAGTGGACATATGGATATGCTTCTCTTTCTCTGGATCCAAGCCCTTAATATTTTGAGCATACACTAAAGCCTGAATAATTGTTTTTAATGTCTTTTCCTATGCACTCTTGAAATGTTGTCCCTGGATTTGAGATCAAAATCTGGAATTTCAGATGGGCTGCTTTTTGTAGCGGATAAGTCTTCTGCATTCTTCATCATCATCATCATCATTCCTGAACCAGAACTCTGTTCTGCAGTAATAGGCAGGCTGGTTTTAATTTGGTTCACTTTAAGAAACAAAATAACATATTTTATCTTTTCGTTTGGAATCTACAACAAAAGGACTAGCTTCACATGCTGTAAATAATATTTGTTCCATTATCCAAGTATCGTCCAACTCCGCACTTGTTCTCCACATCAATAGATTCTTTCCCCTGCCCTTACATTTTCCCACCTTTGTCAGCAATGACCTTTTCCTTCATTGTTCTCTTTTCTTCTTCATTTCCATATCTCTCCAGGAGCTTTTGAATCCCTTTGCTAGCGATTTCTTTCTCTTGTCAGTTACATCTATCAACTTTGTCCTCCCTCCTGCTTCTCTCCACCATGCTCCTTTGGCCTTAGCTATGCTCACCCCTCTGTCAGCCACTATATATTTAATCCCTGTAGTTGTTTTCTGGACTATTTTTTTTCTAAATAAGTTCAGTCCATTAAAAAACTATTAACTATGCCTCCCAAAACCCTCTCAAGCCCACTGAAGTGGTCCATCTAAGTACTCCTAAAACATTTAGCTTAGTATATTTCCTTTCTGTTTTGACAATTTCAGGTTTTCATTGGGTCATGCTCCTCACCAGTGGTGGGTTCCTCCAGGTTCGGGCTGGTTCCGCCGAGCCGGTAGCGGTGACAATATATCATCACCGAACCGGTTTCCCCCCCCCCCCGCGTTATTCTTACCTTTTATTTGGCCCCACCCCCAATCTAATGCTGCCTCCTGAGTCCCAGCTGATTGGCTAGAAGGAAAAAAACTGTTTAAACTCTTGCCGCGGGGCTTCAAAGGGCCGCCCTACAGCTGATCAGTGTTAAAAGGCAGTGTGGTTAAAAGGCAGGGCCTCCAAAAACAATTGAATAAACCGGTGCCTGCAAAAATAAATGAGTAGACCAGTGCCTCCAAAAACAAATGAGTAGACCGGTACAGCTCTGCAAGCAATTAAAAGCCTGGTAGACCAGTACCTCTGCTAAATCCTAAAGAATTGTCACATGACCATTAAGCCATGCCCACAGAACCAGTAGTAAAAAAATTTAGAACCCACCCCTGCTCCTCACATTCTATGATCCAACTGTATGGATTATTGTAAAGTGAAGAATTCTTCTTTCAACACAGACTAGACTTCCTTTGGCTTTGAGATCACCTCCTTATCTCATGCATGTGATATTTATACAAATTCAATATATTTCCCCTTTAATAAGGACTGTGTTCTGAGCTAAAAGTATTATCTTCTAATACCCAAACTTGTCTAATTGTGGGTTACTCTAATATCCTCCTCCCTTTTTAACTTTGCCAGTAAGGATCAAGGAGCTTCTGATCCTGCAATTGTTGTGGTAACACTGAAGTAACACATTCAGTAACACTGAAGTCACTGAGTTCTTTCACCATACTAAGCTGGTAACCATCAGGAGGGTTTTTCTGTATCAGAGTAGTATTGATACATGACTAATGCTGCAAAGTTGGCTTGTGATGGAATATCATGGGCAATTACCTTCTGTCAGTGATCAAATAATGGCTGATTGTTACTTTTAGTATCATGAAGTTAAACAAATGTCATACTCCTGAAGCAATGCTTGTTAAAAAGGAGGAAGATGTATGAGTGGTGTGAGGAAATATGGCAGAGAAGGTATAATGGGTTACAAATGTCTAACTAAAATAACTGTAGTGTGCTATAAAGCACATGTCCTCGCAGTTCATTTTTAGAAATTCTTATAAGAGCAAAAGTTTTGTATCTTTGTACAGTACACCTTTCTCCAATTTGTTATCCTCAATGTGTTGAAACTATCACAGCTCATAAACCACATTCTAATGCCAACATCTTTGTTTAATCAAAGATCATTGTAACTGAAGCATATCATATTCCAATATTCCTTTTTTGAGAGCCTTCCAAGTTGTGAAATTATCATTCTTGTCATTTTCAACCTGCACAGTCAATCTTCTGATGGCCAGGAACAATGAGATTTATGTTCCCACATATTCTAACACATTAAAAAAAACATCTGGTTTGGAAAACGGTCCTATTTTCTGCAATAACTGAAGTTCCAAATTATAAAAAAAGATGATTTTTTTTTCATTTATGGTATGGTTACAATGAAGAGTAAAGAATAGATGAAGCAAAATAATTGAGAAGAAGTAGTAATGTACAAAATCTTTTGCATGTATTGTCTCAACAACTATTGCCCAAATCTCATTAATGTCATTATTATACCAGCAATGCAAATGGAGCTTCCCTTAACATATTCAGATAAGGTTTATGACTGAGCTGTGGGGACATGAGGAGTAGTGGTGGGATGCTGCCATTTTAACAACAGGTTTGGTGTGTGTGCACACACGCCTAAGGCGCTTGCATGCAGCGCTGAAAATGGAGCATTTAGAAGCTCAGCTGCTTACCTTCCAAGTCAGCAATGGTAAGTAGAACAGCAAGAGGGGGGAAATCAGCTATGCCGCGTGATTGAGATCAGCTACAAAGCAGGAAATAAAGGACAGAATAGAGTGGGGGCGGGTGGGCGGAGCCGACTGATCGTTGGAGATACCGGTTCTCCTGAACCAGCTGAATACCACCTCTGATGAGGAGCATTCTGATATACCAGAATCATATCAGTGGTATCTTCAGCAGTGGGGTTGGATCAAAAAACTCAAGATGGTCATCACAGCAACATAGTCAAATCCCCACTTCTTTGTATATCCATAAGTCATTAACACAGGAGCAGAGTTTCAATCACACTATTGCAACTGCCACATTGACGTTTTTTATTCCCCAGAAGATATTGCTGGTTCCATGTATGTTTTCTCAGGATTAAATACCACTTTGTTAATTGACCTTCCTTCATAGAGTGTATACATGAGCTCTAATCCTGGTAGTGTCTGGTGGAACATGAAAAATAAGTTGGATAAGTAAATCATTTTTAGCAATGTACATGCTCAATTTCTCTATTCTCTAAATAGAAAATATACAAGGGATGGAAATAATATATATTTGGCTGATAAATCCAGTGAGAGTTGGTGGTATTTGGATATAAGACAAAGCAGTCAACTAGATGGGAAACGGTTGCCAAGGTTTTATCAGGAATTTTGCTTTTGTTTTCCGACACAGTTTTGCACTTCAAATAAAGTTTTGTGCTATTAATATATATTTCATTAGGTCAGACATATCTGGCATATCTTTTTTTTTTTAAGGTAAAAAGAAAACAGAACCAGGAATTGGGGTACATTGATAAGAATCTGGAAAGGAAGTAAAGAATTTAAACGTGCAATGCCCAGGATTTGTTATTTCTAAACCATCCCTGCTGGGTCAGTTTGAATGCCATAAAAAACAGACGACACATGGCACTGCCTTTATCAAGCTACCCAGACTATTTGTTTTAGTGCGCTGTTGAAAATTTCTTCTGCCATTTTAACAATAATTCTCATTCAGGTTCATGGAAACGATCTTTCTTCTCTTCCCCGGACACACAAAGTCAACAAATTTTAGCAAAATGCTAACAGAATCCTAAAGTGAAATATTTCTCCATTTTCTTTCGTTCCAAGGGGAACAACGCACTTCCTTTAATTTCCAGGGTGAACAATAAGAGATCATCCTTCCTTTCACTCTTCAATCGTCTTTCCACTGTTCTATAGGCACCCTGGATGATACAAGTAGTGATATAAGTGACCTCATGGCAAGCCCTGGCCCTTTTCTGCATGAACTGCAGTATCACACAGGTACCAAGAATGGGCAGTGCTTATAGTTCCAGTGCTGTTTTTATCAGGATGAGCTTGACAATAAAAACCTCTGGATGTCATTGCACCAACTTTTATGCTTACTTGTCATTGACAAAATTGTGACCAGAATATCCCTGTATTCTCTGAAGCTTGTCATCTTTAATTTGACTGACATCATCCTCAATGACTACCTAAGGGTCTTTCCTCTTGACTGAGCATTCTTCAGCTGGTAGAAAACATTGTAGATGATACTTTCTGTCCCTATCCTGCCTCTTCTTTCTCTGTTCCCAGTCACTGTATAGAGAGATATGGAGTTGGCCCTATACAGAATAATTACAACAACGAAAGCATAACTGAAGCCCATGAAAGGGCGGGGGGGGGGGACATTGAAAACATGTCAGACTGACTCCACCCTAATTCCATGGGGTATTTAGAATCATAGGGTTGGGGGGGACCTTGTAGTCTTGTAGTCCAAACCCTTACCAAAGGCAGGAGTCCTTATATCATCCCAGACAAATGGTTGTCCAATCTTTTCTTGAAAACCTCCAGTGATGGAGATGCCACAACTTTGAGAGGCAAACTGTTCCCTTGATTAATTGTTCTCACTGTTACCACACTGCTGACTCATATTTAAGTAGTGGTCCACAGGACACCTAGATCAGGGGTGAAATCCAGCAGGTTCTGATAGGTTCTGGAGAACCGGTAGTGGAAATTTTGAATAGTTCGGAGAACTGGCAAATACCACCTCTGGCTGGCCCCAGAGTGGAGTGGGAATGGAGATTTTGCAATATATGTCCCCCAGGAGTGGGGAGGGAATGGGGATTTTGCAGTATCCTTCCCCTAGAGTGGAGTGGGAATGGAGATTTTGCAATATCCTTCCCCCAGGAGTGGGGAGGGAATGGGGATTTTGCAGTATCCTTCCCCTAGAGTGGAGTGGGAATGGAGATTTTGTAATATCCTTCCCCCAGGAGTGGGGAGGGAATGGGGATTTTGCAGTATCCTTCCCCTGGAGTGGGGTGGGAATGGAGATTTTGCAGTATCCTTCCCCTGCCATGCCCACTAAGCCAGAGAACCGATAGTAAAAAAAAATGGATTTCACCACTGACCTAGATCCCTCTCACAGGCACTATTGTTGAGTCAAATACCTCCTGTTCTATACTTACAGATTTGGGGATTTTATTTTATTTTTTGCCGTGCAGGACTTTACTTTTCTCACCACTGAACTGCATCTTGTTGGATAGTGTAAAAGGATAGCAAAGAAAAACACAGCTAGCCTTTCAAGCTTCAGTGATTAAAGCATGTATCAATAAAGTACAGTTCCGATCAAGTATCTGAAGTCTGTTCCCTGCCTTGGCCTACCTCAAAGGGCCAACACACTGCCAGTCACCAGACTTCCCTCCAAGATTATGTATGACTAAAGTTGTACATACCTAAAGGACATTCTGGGATTGCATAGGAACAAGAAAGAAAACATTTCTTTGACATTCAGCTAAGGATGATGAAAGCCAGCTCCTCCTGAGGATGAGATAAAAGTACTATCAGGGGGGGCCTCCAACAGGAAAGAAGCTATCTTAGCATTTCTGCTGTAGTTCACTACAAGTGGAGATAGGAGGCAAAACATTGTCTCTTGCCGATGGAATGCACAGAGCTAATTCAGCATAAGGATGTCATGCTTTGCCATTATAAAAGCAGTAGCACTCTGCACCGTTGAAAGCTTTTCAGGGCAATCTCAAACTGAATAGTACCCTTGAGATGATGTCACTAAAGCAAGAAGGACAACAAGGAACAGATGTAGTTGGAACATCCAGAGCCAAGGCAGAGTAAAAGCACTCCTGAGTCAAAGCCAAGTCAATGTAATCAATAATGCAATAATGACCAAAAGGTCATAAAAGTCATATACCATATTTTTCGGAGTATAAGATGCACTTCTCCCCCACACCCCAAAAAAAGTGGGTGGAAATGTCTGTGCATCTTATACAGCAAATGTTGTCGAAGCCCTGCCCACCCACCGGCCCCCACCTTTCGGCCTCTGCCTCCCAGCAATTTGCCTCCTTGCAGCAAACAGCAAACAGCATGGTCAGCTTCAGCACAGCCTGATTTAGCCTGAGCAGCTGATTGGCAGTTGGATCTGCCTCCCAGAATACCTCCTATCAGCTGTTCCAGGCTGCGAGAATTGCTACTGCCCATCGGTGCCGGTGCCACCTATTGCCACTGCCACCTATCACCACCTCCGTGCACCCCATTTTCAGCCTCCCCGCATCCCCTTTTCGGCCTCCACATGCCCCATTTTCATTCTCCACGCATCCCCTTTTCGGCCTCCACATGCCCCATTTTCGTCCTCCATGCATCCCATTTTCAGCCCATTCCAGGTAGCGGGGATAGGCAGTGGCAGTGATCCCCGCAGCCTGGAACAGCTGATATGTGGTATTCCGGGAGGCAGATCCAACTGCCAATCAGCTGCTTGTGCTAAATCAGGCTGTGCTGAAGCTGACCATGCTGTTTGCTGTCTACTGCAAGGAGGCAAATTGCTGGGAGACAGAGGCAGAGGCAGGCCTTTTTTCCCTTGTTTTCTTCCCCAAAAGCTAGGTGCGTCTTGTACTTCAGAGCATCTTATAGTCCGAAAAATACAGTAATTTTCATTGTCTTGTCCTCTGAAGCAAAAACTAATGCCAGCATGCTGCTATCAAGGAAAGAAAGGTCAGAGTTGATCACCTAGGTCTTTGGAGAGAAACCATAACAATTTAATTTAATTTAATTTAATTTGCTCAATATTAAGAGAGCAACCATAGAAAGAGCAACCATAATTTCTTAAAAAGGAAAAATATAGAATTTTTATGCACTATTATATGTTTATGGAATAATTAATGTCTGGCAAATACCACCTCTGGCTGGCCCCAGAAAGGGGTGGGAATGGAGATTTTGCAGTATCCTTCCCCTGCCACACCCACCAAGACACGCCCACGAAGACACACCATGCCCACTAAGACACGCCCACAAAACCAGTAGTAAAAAAAATTTGGATTTCACCATTAGACTATATATTAGGCCGGTAAGTTTGGAATCATCCCAGAAGAAGGAAGAATAATGTCTATGTTATCGCTGAGGAAATCACATGGATCTGTCCATGAAGCCATCAGAATATAAATCTGCCTTTGCCTTTACATTCATTGAGCCAATTCTTTGCCACGTATGGCAGGCAAATTTTACTTTTGAGACTCATGAGGTTACTACCACTGGAACACCATCTTCAGACTGGAAGGATTTCCATTCTCACAATTCTTAGGCCTAGAAGGAATGGGAAATCCTAATCTATTCTCTCCCACTAATGGGCAGTAAAGCCTGTTATGTTCCTCTTCAAAGTGTGGTGGGGTTTGGGGAGTGGGAGATCCTATTGGAGGTCAATAAAAAAAATTCCACCTCCGTTTCTTTCTTACTCTGTGAATAACAAAAGTTAGTTGGAAATGTCAGGATCAATGCATGAAAAATACAGAGCTGGTTGTTACTGTTTCACCCTTGCCATATACACTGCTTTAATACTGCATACAATCTACCGGCAGCAGCTGAAGGTAGTGGTGTTTTTATTTTTATTATTCTTAAAATCTCACTTCTTTTTTAGCTTTGGAACCATGTTTAAAATGCAACTGATTCAAGAATTTTTTTTCTTTTAGTTACTACATTTATGGTTTTGTTTTCTTCTAAGAGTTTCAGAAACCAACTTGAATATGTCTTCTTTTAACTGCATTTTGTAGTTTTAATCATTGTAAACTTTTGAAAGTTTTTGGGAAATTGCCGCATTGCTTTTTTCATCTCCTGCTCTAAGAAAAAAGAGAAAAATAAAACATAAGGTGCAAATTAATTGTGAAAGCATGCATATTTTTAGAAAAATACATGCTGGTTCTCATTTTGCCCCAGACTCCAGTAATTACCTGGATTCCACATAAACAACTTTCTTTCCTGAAATGGAGTCCCTGAATAGACCTTGTAGCTCCTACAAAGAAATAGCTGAGTCAAAAGTGATAGTTTCTAACTGGAAATGATAGAACTACGGTACTTGAAGCTCCATTTAGTCAAGTGCAGTTGGTTCTCAATTTTTTCACAATTGGGATTAGAATTTCTGTTGTTAAGTAAGGCAGTTGTTAAGTGAGTCACACCCAATTTTACAACCTTTTTTGTCATGGTAGTTAAGAAATCGCTGCAGTTGTTACATGAACCACAGTTTTTTAAAAAGAATCCAACTTCCCCCATTGACTTTGCTTGTTGGAAAGTCACAAATGGTGATCATGTGACATCCCCCTCCCATCCCCATCCCCTGCACACTGCAACTGTCAGGTGCAAAGGATCAGGACTCTCCATTAAGCTGCAGCACAAATTTATTCAAGCCTATACACAAGACTCTAGTCAACTAAAGTTCAACACTAAATTGGTGCCACATAAAGTTCAACAGGATACAGGAGGGGTTGGATTTGGACCATTTGTGGGAATGTAGCAACTTTAAGTTGATGACATGCTTAACTTCACCCCCAGCTCAGCCAGCTCTTCTCTTACAGCAATCTTCATAAATTCACACTAGTTGCCAAGTACCCAAATGTTGATCATGTAACCATGGGGATAAGTGTAAGGAATCACTTTTTTCAACCTGGATCCTCACCCTATGGTATGCCTGCCTCAGGTCCAATTTGGTAAAGATCCTCCCCTTGGCCAAGTGGGCCAACATGTTTTTCATCAGGGGCAGAGGGTACATGTTCTCAACAGACATACATTAATTTCCCTGAAGTCCACACATAAGCGCAAAGTCCCATCCTTTGTCTCTTTGAACAGGACAGGAGCTGTGATACTTGAGCAAGCGAGCTGAATGAATCCCCAAGCCAGGTTCTTCTTAATGTACTGAGCTCCAGACCTAATCCAGTAGTAACAACTCCATTCATGTAGGTGGTTGATAACTGGGTTTATTAAGCCAGACTCAGGCACAAAAATCAGATCCAAAAAGCACTGGTCGTGAACTAGATTAATCCGGAATTAAAGTCAGCACTGGGAGCATCCACCTCCCAATGTGTTTATATAGGCAAGCCATGCCCTCCACTGGCTCAGGCCTTGCCCAGAAGTTGGCTGTGGCTCTGATCAGCTCCCCAAGGCTCCACAGCTGTTCAATGCCTTCGCCCCTCCCCCAGCTGATTGTCAGGCATTCCGGTTGCCTTGCGCTGGCTGCCTCCCTGCCATAACTGATTGGCGTTCCAACAGAGGTTCTCCAGCATGCTGCTGCAGAAAACTCCCCCACAACACCAGGAGCTTCCCTCCCCCCTGGTAAGGCAAACCCCGAAGTTTGACAGGTATATTTTTGTATGAAATTGCTTCTCTTTGAGTAATGTCCATTTCTGCATAGCACACTTAAGAAGGTTAAAACAATGGATCAGGTTGAAAGCAGGACAACAAGAATGACCAGGGATGAGTACCAGTTGTATTTAGCTTGAAAGGAGCAGAGTGAGAAGGGATAAGTTAGCACTTTTCAGATGCTGAAGGAAACTCATACAGAAGCAGAGCAAGATCTGATCTTTAGTAAAGTAGAGGACACTGAGTAGTGGATTTAAGTTACAGGAAAACAGGAAGTTTTTTTTACTGAATGGTAGTAGGAAAATATCCTAATAGGAAGAGCAGCTTAACTATGGAATCAATGAACTAGTGAAGTCCCCTGAATGCAATGAAACAGAAGCTGAACATTTATTTATTTATTTATTGGTTTGATTTATATGACGCCCTTTTCCAGAGACTCAGGGCGGCTTACAAAGCGTTAAGCAATAGCCTTCATACTTTTGTATATACCTGCTTAGTAGGGCTTTCGGAACTTTAATTTGGATCATTATTTGGAACAGGACTCAGACCAGGAGAAAGCATTTAGCTGACTTTGGTTGATCTTTTTAAAAAACACTAAGTAACTTAGAGAAGTTTGGTACTGGGATGGGAGACTACCAGGAAATCTCAGAATTGTAGACTAGGGCTTTAAAAAAAAAACAGATGACTGGCTACAAAACTGTATGGATACGTCTATGAAATTCAAAGAGTCAGCCTTCATTCAAAGAAACCTAGAACTAGTCTTAATAGCTAAGTAGCTTCTTCTGACTCTGATTCTAATACATGGGTTACAGGGGGAGTTTGCTGTATCCTTCCATGATAATTTTTTTAGATTTATTTTTTATCCTACCTTTATTTTTTTATATAAATAACTCAGTTGTTGATAAAGCTCCTTCTTCCTTCCATTTTGCCCACCAAAGGTGGGTTGGGCTGAGAGAGAGTGACTAGCCCAAAGCCACCCTGCCGGCTTTCATGCCTAAAGTGGGACTAGAACTCACAGTTTCCTCCTTTCTAGCCTGGTGCCTTAACCACTATACCAAACTGGTCTGTGGTTAATTCTTGAACACTGATGATTCCATCAGAAGCAAACAAGAATAACAACAACTTTGTTGAGTCACAGATCGTTTTTATAACTTCTTTAGAAAAATAATTTGCCTACCTTGTTTGCACTAGCTCTGCAGTGTGCTCACATGCCCATTTTTACTTCTTAAATACCACTCTCTTTTTAACCAACAAAGTATCTAACTATGGAAATGGTTCTCTGGGGAGATAATGAACAAGGAGGGAAAACAAGGTAGTAATTTGGAAAGCCAGCAAAAGCCAGAAACCAACTGTTCTGACGTACATTGGGTTGAATTAATTTTCAGTGCCAAGGTTATCTTCTGCTTGGTTCAGAGCAGCCTCCACAACAAGGCATCTTCTAAATATGTTAGACTAGCTCTCATAATGTCCACCCAGTTTAGCCTGGGATTATGAACACAGAAGTTTAATAAATTTGAAGCTTGCCAAGTCTGGGAAGATTGATTTAACCTTCCTTAATCTTATATATTGAACTGCTGAACTGGCTTCTGTGATGTGAGTCCAGCAAAGATTAGAATCTAAAGACTTTCATGCTGTTTGTTAGACAAAAACTGCTCTTTATGTCATCATGCATGGAATACTCACTTCCAGCAAGTACTATGAGCTGGTGAAATAACGAATTTCCACAACATAGAAGGAAATTACTGGGCTGCATTCTTGCTAAGTGATATTGCCTTACTTGTAACTCCTTACAAATTGCATTTCACTTCCAAAGCAAAGTGAGAGCAATACAGTTTCAGCATAAAATAAAGCACCCAAGGAACCTAAAGCCCCTTTGCTCTGAGAGAAAGCAAAATCAAAGGAGAGAAAATGTCTCTCTTTTGTTTCAAGAAATGTATTTATTTATTTAGTAAACATGTATACTGCCTAACTATAGCCACAAAATCTAAGAGTGATTTGAGCAGAATTTTAACGAACAGCTGTTGCAGCCATAAAGAGACCATGTTTTTTAACAATTTCAACATCTGAAGACAGGTTAAAAGGCTCCACAATAGGATCTCAAGCAATCAGACTCAATTTCAGATTACAATTCTTTTTAAATTCTTTAAATTGTAAAGAATTTACCTTTTTTTAAAAAAAAAAATTGATGCATACACAATTAATAAAACAATTGTTGGAAGGAAAAAGAAGCCAATACAATCTTTAAACTTTAAAACAAAAGCCCAAACAAAATAAAATATCGGACCAAAACAGAAAAAAAATCTGTGTTTTATATGCTATCCTTACAATATTCACTGAGTTAGTAATGAATACTTATTTATTTATTCAATTTCCATGCTGCCCATCTCACTGATATACTGATTCTATATACTACTAAATAGAGTACTGGTAGTCCTTGATTTATGACCACAATTGTGTCCAAAATTTCTGTTGTCAGGTAAAACATTTGTGATGTGAATTTTGCCCCATTTTACGACCTTTCTTGCCCCTGTTGTTAAGTGAATCACTGCGGTTGTTAAAGTAGTGACAAAGTTGCTAAGTGAATCTGCCTTCCTCATTGACTTTGCTTGTCAGGAGGTTGCAAAAGGGGATCACATGACCCCAGGACACTGCAACCCTCATAAATAGTTGCCAAGTGCCTGAATTTTGACCTCAGGGATGCTACATCAATCAAAAGTGTGAAAAACATTTTTTTCAATGCTGTTGTGACTTTGAACAGTCATTAAATGAACTGTTGTAAGTCAAGGACTATCTATACTACATAGAATATGCTGTAATGTGAACAGTATAAAATAGTATTATAAAATATCATCAGCTCTCTGCCATGGTAACACAGTAGTAGAAATATTGTCTTTTCCAAAATAGGTGAATCCCACATTTTGGACAATCATTGGGATAATAAAATGTTTCCAATTTCTCAACATGATTTGTAACTATCTCCCTTCCATGCGTGATACAGCCAAAATTCCTGATAAGCAGTCAGATTCCAGCGCTTTGGTATATAGTTCAACGTTGTATTAAGAAATGTAATGTTTACATTTCTATTGTTAGTGAGCTTGACAGAAGTCATTGCCCAAAACCATAGAATAAAAATATCAGGCTTGGGGAAACCAACTGAAGTCACATATTTTGTACAAGGCTCTTTAGTTCCTCTTCACTTTCTGCCATTAAGATTGCTGGGAGAAACATCAACAACCTCAGATATGCAGATGATACCACTCTAATGGCAGAAAGTGAAGAGGAACTAAAGAGCTTTCTGATGTGGGTGAAGGAGAAGCGTGCAAAAGTTAGCTTGAAACAACATTAAGAAAACTAAGATCATGGTTCCTAGCCCTCTCAATTCCTGGTAAATAGATGGGGAAGAAATGGAGGTACTGACAGATTTTATTTTCCTGGGCTTCAAGATCACCGCTGATGGGGACTACAGCCAAGAAATTAAAAAACACTTGTTCCTGGGGAGGAAAGCTATGGCAAAGTTAGGCAGCATACTAAAAAACAGAGACATCACCCTGTCAACAAAAGTGTGTATAGTCAAGGCTACGGTTTTCCCAGTTGCAATGTATGGCTGTGAAAGTTGGACCATAAGGAAGGCTGAGTGTCAAAGAATTGAGGCCTTTGAATTATGGTGCTGGAGAAGACTCCTGCGAATCCCTTGGACTGCAAGGTGATCAAACCAGTCAGTCCTAGAGGAGATCAACCCCGACTGCTCTTTAGAAGGCCAGATCCTGAAGATGAAACTGAAATACTTTGGTCACTTAATGAGAAGGAAGGACTCACTGGAAAAGAGCCTAATGCTGGGAACAAATGAGGGCAAAAGAAGAAGGGGACAGCAGAGAATGAGGTGGCTGGATGGAGTCAGTGAAGCAGTTGGCGTGAGCTTAAATGGTCTCCAGGGGATGGTAGAGGACAGGAAGGCCTGGAGGAAAGCTGTCCATGGGGTCGTGATGGGTCAGACATGACTTTGCAACTAACAACAACAACATTTTATACAAATGGAAAGCAGCTTGTGAGCTTCCTAGTTCTTTGCCTTTAAGATATCAGTAGAAAAATGGATCTCTTCACAATAGTAAATGCACTTGCTGTGAACCACTAAACTGCCAATGAACTCCCTCCTACAAATCTATTCCACTTTAAATCAAACATGTTTTAAATTCATCCATTTCTAATTTTTAAAAAGTAACACACAATGAAACAGGATTGATAAGACACTTAATTTTTTACTGCATCACACCAGGATTTTTTTTCCTTTTAGTTTTAGTATCTCATGATAATAGGAAATGGAAAAGAAAGTAATGAATGCCTTCTAAAAAATTGTGTTACTTATGTTTATTCATTTATAAGTCATCTACCACTTGTTTCATAGTTCAAACAGGACACCAGTCTTAAGGCCTTAGTCAATGAATGAATGAAAGAGCCAAATGGGAAGTGATTAATCACCTAGAAGTTTTTTATCGGGAGATTAAGGAAGTCTGGTGGACAGTTAGGAACCATCTTCATTCTTTGTCTGTATTTGGATCCCCAACATGTTTGTAAAATATACCCCTGTCTCCCATTCTTCTCTGGATATCCCACAGAAGGAGAGAGCCAAGATCTCAGCCATATCCATTTTCAGTGTGTCACATAGTTCACCACAGTCTACAAACATTTCTAATGAGAATGGTTTTGCAGTTGTTGCACTCGGTGTCAATTACATGACTTCTTCAGATAATCCCAGTTCCTCTTTTGCAGGGATACGTGCAAAGAACATTTCCTTAGATGTTAAGCAATTCCAAAGGCAACCACAAGACTTCATCAAAGCATTGAGAAACTGAACTTCTTTAAAGATTTGGTGTCTGGCAAGCGGCTGAAGAAGGCCTCCTCCAGTAGTTGTTTTCTTAATCTATAGGATTATGTATGTGTGCATTCTGTTAATTTACCAGCAATACTACTATTCAATTGGAAAACAAGAAAACAAAAATATACAGAGTAAGATGCAGCAAGTTACTACACATGCCTAAATTGAACTATATAATATGCATAGAATACTTGGAGGAAGAGGCTGCCAAGCAAATTTTCTTGGACAGCAAAGAAATTGTGGGACAGGGGTGCTATTCTGACAGGTTCTGGAGAACCGGTAGCGGAAATTTTGAGTAGTTCGGAGAACCAGCAAATACCACCTCTGGCTGGCCTCAGAGTGGTGTGGGAATGGAGATTTTGCAATATCCTTCCCCTGGAGTGGGGTAGAAATGGAGATTTTTAAGAATTCTTCCCCTGGGGTGGGATGGAAAGAAGATTTTTAAGTCTCCTTCCCCTGCCACACCCACCAACCATGCCCACCAAGCCACACCACACCCACCAAGCCATGCCCACAGAACCGGTAGTAAAAAAAAATTGAATTCCACCACTGGACAATACAATTACAAAAATTGACTCTCTTATTATCATCTACCAAGTGTTACTTTCCAAAAGTCTCTGGAGAAGAGTATTAGAAAATTACTGAAATGTCCCAGCACTTATACAGGAGATATTATTTTAAATATTTTACCTACCACCACCACAAGCCATTCAAGACAGTCTGGGATCTGGGAGGTTGAGATACCCTATTATTATTTGTCCTTGTTTTGAGTCCTGATATCAGATTTACATTCAATAATTATTTTGCAGGAAATGTGTCCTGTTTGTTTGCAGATGGTGGCATATATCACATTACAGGAAGAATATGTGAAGGTTCCTCTAATCTTTTGCTTGTACTTATTAGGGACCGTGATGGTGCTATTAGTGAAGAAGTGAAGCAGAGTAGATCTCTGGATTTATTGAAAGGTCTGTTTCCCATAATAGCAACACCATCCTATTATTTCTTGTTACTCAGGCTGGTTAATTATGTGTATGCAAATATGGATCTGCCATGTATGGCTAAGTATCTATGGAGATTCTCAGTCATCTGGGTCATTGTCCCAAAGGTGCTTTTTCTAGAAGCAACTGGACTTCCTTTTTTTTTCTTTAACAATGTTCCATTTCTCATCCAAGAAACTTCTTCAGTGCAACAAGAAAGTCCAGTTGCCTCTTGAAAAAGCATATTTGGGTCTGCCATGTAATGGCTGAGAAAGTGCAGTGTCATTGACCACTATGGGCTATAGCTTATTAATAAACTTTAAGTGGTTTGAGCTGTGACCACCAGTGGTGTTCTGTTGTTTATTTCTCTGATCTGTCTTTTAATATGAACTTCCTTGGAATCTATTGATTTGTCTATTGATTTCATTGGGTGCATAGTTTAATCTCACTCTCATTGTAGGAAAAATTGTTGTCAAATCACTTCAGAAAATGTTGCCAAGAAAGCTACCTATGTAGCAGTGGTGGGTTTCAACATTTTTTACTACCGGTTCTGTGGGTGTGGTTTGGTGGGCATGGCATTGCTTGATGGGTGTGGCAGGGGAAGGATGCTGCAAAATCCCCATTTCCTCCCTATCAGCTGGACTCAAGAGGCAGAGAATAGATGGGGGCGGGGCCAGTCAGAGGTGGTATTTACCGGTTTTTATTAATTCAATTTATTTATTAATTCAATTTGTATGCCGCCCCTCTCCGGTTCTCAGGGAGACTCAGGGTGGCTCTCCGAACTACTCAAAATTTCCGCTACCGGTTCTCCAGAACTGGTCAGAACCTGCTGAAACCCACCTCTGCTATGTAGTTCTAGGAATCAGGGCGAACTTGAAGGACTATGAGAACGGTATCTTATAGATATTTTTTAAAAACCTTCATAGATAAAATTCAGTCCTGGAGGAATGGATGGAACCAGGCCATAATCTGAAAATGATTATCCAAGTAAGAACAAATCTACTCCTATAGATATTGATTAGGGACAATACCAAGATTTTGAAAGATGCTGAGATGTCAAACAGAAAAGGAAGGTTTCATTTTCAACTTTCTGTCAAAATTATCCACAGGGCAACCACAGCTATTTATGTCTTAAATATGGGTGTAAATTTGAATTTGAAATTATTCTAAAAAATCAACATCATCCCAAAGTGCTTAGAATTGGTTATAGTCCTCTGAATGGGAGGAAAAAAGCACAGCTGGTTGGGAATTTGAACAGTTAAGTGATTCTTCAGGTAAAAAGTAGACATCCATTTTCTCTCTCTTGCCCACTGCCTCTCCTGTCTATTATATCTTCCTTCCTCAAGCAACTTTAGGTTATATATTTGGAACACATGGTCTAGAATCTTCTATTCCTTCAAGTAAATTTTGAATAGAAAATATAAAGAAATATTGTATTTTTTTTTTAATTTGATTTATATGCCGCCCTTCTCCGAAGACTCAGGGCGGCTTACAATGTGCTCAGCAATAGCCTTCATCCTTTTGTATATTTATACAAAGTCAGCTTATTGCCCCCACAAACTGGGTCCTCATTTCACCTACCTTAGAAAGGATGGAAGGCTGAGTCAACCTTGAGCCTTGGCGAGATTCGAACCCTGCAGTAATTGCAGGCAGCTGGTCTTAAGCAGCTTAATAACAGGGTGCCTTAAACCCTAGTACTACCAAGGCTCTGTTTTAAACATTTTAAACATCTATTCTTAAAGTGTGCCCCACCTTGTCCATCACTCTGCCTGCTCTTTGTCTATCACATTGCTAATGTGATCTCATTTCAGGGGTGAAATCCAGCAGGTTCTGAAAGGTTCTGGAGAACCAGTAGTGGAAATTTTGAGCAATTCGGAGAACCGGTAGTGGAAATTTTGAGCTGTTCGGAAAAGCGGTAGTGGAAATTTTGAGTAGTTCGGAGAACTGGCAAATACCACCTCTGGCTGGCCCCAGAGTCGGGAGAGAATGGAGATTTTTCAATATCCTTCCCCTGGAGTGGGGTGGGAATGGAGATTTTGCAGTATCCTTCACCTGCCACGCTTACCAAGCCATGCCCACCAAGCCACACCATGCCCACCAAGCCACACCCACTGAACCGGTAGTAAAAAAATTTGGATTTCACCCTGTATCATTTCCTTCTGACTTTCTTCTCTGACACATAAAACAGAGTGTATGAGTGGAAAGGAGATTCATTTATAGAAAATTAAGAGGTGGGCAAAGTTTAATATCCAGATAATCACGTCCCCTGACTGTAATTATCTGGGTACTAAGCTTTGCCTAGCCCTTAATGTTCTATAAATGAATCTCCTTTCCATTAATAATTATAAAACATGCTTCACCAAATCTTGTTCAGGTCAGATTAAAGAATGCTTCAAACACATATGGAACACTTCAGCTTCCAATGTTTCTAATCTAGACCTGAAGAAGTATAAAGTTCAGACTGAAAAATCCAATAACAAAGTTCCATTCTCCTGACTATTAATTTACTGTAAATTTCCAAATGACGCAAATCAGAAACATCGGCCTGTTTTACAAAGGTTGAGCAGTTTTCGTTGCTAAGATAAGGCAGCAAGAGACAGTGGATCTGTGCAGGAGTTTCTATATATAAATTTGTCAATGTGAGGAAACCCAACTTAGAGCTGTCACCTTTTCTTATATTTTCTTAACAAGGTCAGAGTTCATTGTATTTGCTTTTTGATAGCTTTTCTCAGGCTTGGTTCCTCTGTTAATAAGACAGTCAATAATTCCATGCTTTAATTTGACTTTGTAGTCAGTGCAATCATTTACTTATAGATTCTTGCTTTTTATTTACCGACTGGGAGGGTGGGTTGTCAGATTTAGAGCTGCCACAAAGCTGTCCAAGAAGTTCTGAGAGTCCCCATTGATTCAGGGTGTAATCTCAGGCTGTGAAGGCAGCAATCTTATCCTCATTCTTTACTAAGATTTAATTTATTTTTGACACCAGGAGTCTTGAGCTTTGAGGCTTCTCCTCATTGAAGATGCTGACCATTACATCAACCTTCCATTAGTTTCTTCGCATTAATAGAAAAAGCAAGGAGGTTTCCATGGAAGCAGACAGTGGTCACTAGTGGTTTCCATAGTGTTGCTGAAGACATGTGCTGATGTTAAGGGAATGAAGATTATACAATCGCCAAGCCATTTGTATGCTGTCCAGTCATATTGCATGTTATACCATTTAATCCCCAAATATTCAGAGGCTAATTGAGATTGTTGAGTGTGCAGATTCAAAGCAAAATAGAAGAGGCATCAATAGTCTGTTTCTTTCCTTTTCCTTCCTTCCTTCCTTCCTTCCTCCTTCCTTCCTTCCTTCCTTCCTTCCTTCTTTCCTTCCTTCCTTCCTTCCTTCTTTCCTTCCTCCTTCCTTCCTTCCTTCCTTCTTTCCTTCCTCCTTCCTTCCTTCCTTCCTTCCTCCTTTCTTTCTTTCTTTCTTTCTTTCTTTTTTTCTTTCTTTCTTTCTTTCTAGGTTCTAACACGGGTATGTAACTGTCATATACCTTTGACTGAAGACTGGTTCACTCCTTCTACCAGGGATGATTTGGGAGGAATGCACGCAGGACCTGTGAGGAAGGAAGGGGACAGCCCCAGTCAGATCAGCCAAATCAACCCTAGCAATCAATGGGGTGACAGATGTTGTAGCCTGATTGCCCTCACATCCAATAGTCTGAATCATTTACCTGTGAACAACAATAATGTTTGGGATGCAAGAGATCAATAGGATCCACCCAAGAACCCAATAGCATCTAATTCATCAAAAATCACTTGGCTAATTCCTGCCAAAATGGAAGAATAATGCAAAGTCAGTGGGTTTGATAACATGATTCAACAAGTTTGTTGAAGCAGTGGGAAGGATAGATAGAAGTGTGTCTACATGGTATTCCATTATAGATGGAGTTTTGAGAGGGACCATATTCCTCACCTGACTTTCTAGCCAATAGAAATTATTTCCAATTAGATTAGGAAATCTATATTTTTTGCTTTTTACTGTTACTGTGCAATTTAAAAAGTACTACATTTTTCCAAAGAAAAGTGTTTTAAAAAGTTTAAGAAAGCTTAAGTTTCCAAAAATAAAAAGAGAAAAGTAAAGAAAATCTATCAATATTAACTGCCATTTTTAGGATGCAAATGTTACAACATTAAAACATAAGATTATTTAATTTTGATTTTCTTTTTAAGTTCAGTAAAACATAGAGAAAAAAGAACCGCTGCAATTCACATCAAAACATCAGTTATATGATAATAGTTTCGGTCTTGAACTACTTCCTACATTTTATTTTAAATAACCCAAAGCCAACATGGTGGTGTAATTGACTCCAACTGGATTGAAGTCATCTTCACATTCCTATTCACCAGTGGTGGGTTTCAAATTTTTTTGCTACCGGGGTGGCTTGGTGGGCGTGGCATGGCTTGATGGGTATGGCTTGGTGGGCATAGCAGGGAAAGGATATTGTAAAATCTCCATTCCTACCCCACTCCAGGGGAAAGATACTGTAAAATCTCCATTCCCTCCCCACTCCAGGGAATGGTTACTGCAAAATTCCCATTTCCTCCCGATCAGCTGGGAATTATGAGGCAGAGAATAGATGGGGGCAAGACCAGTCAGAATTTTTACTATCGGTTCTCCGAACTACTCAAAATTTCCGCTACCGGTTCTCCAGAACTGGTAGCAGAACTGATGCAACCCACCTCTGCTTTTCACCCATATATAAAATCCACTGGCTCCAAGTATTAACTCCCATCTTCTCCTGTTTATGACATGAAACGTTTATGAAATGTGAAGAAGAAAACCGTACATTTTTCCTTGCCTTAAATTTGCAATAATAATTTGAATAGCATCTTAATTTATTTGCCAATTCATTCCTACCTTGAGATTTACTTTTTAAAAGATTACCATAAGATGTGTATGTCTGTGTGTTTATGTGTATACATGTGTGTGAAATTTGAAACAGATCTGAACAAATGTCTCTGCATCCCTTACGAGTAGACTATGAAAATGATCGATAAAACCCTATACTTAAGTATTTTTTGGCATTTTAAAGTTAGCATTTTAATAAGCTGCGAGGTGCAGGATCTGATTAGTTTTCTCCAAAATTATTCCCCAGGCTTCTCAAAGTGCCCCATAGTGTCAGCTGACAGAGAAAACTTCCTCATCCAAGTTCTACAAGAGCTCAGAGAAGATGGAGCAATGTGGCTTCCATGTGATATCTTTGTTCATCCCTCACATACCCTGTTGGAAAAGACTGGAGCCAGTCCAAGTCATATGCCCTACTATACAGAAAAAGTTTCCAAACAAATATCTCAGTCTTGTTAAAAAAGTCTATGACATTTGACACCTCTATTCATTTGTATGTGCTGATTATAGATACTTTATCACAAAACTCTTAACATGATTTGTGTCTAGCCTTAGATAGGTTATCACTTTTTATAATAAAATCTTCACTACCTATTTTATTTTTTATTTTTATTTTATTTTGAATTTGTATACCGCCCTTCTCCCTGAGGACTCAGGGCGGTGAACAGCCAAATAAAAACATCAAATACAAATATTAAAATACAGTTAAATTGAATTGTATTACAATGTTTATATACACCTTTGATTCCGTACCTAAGATACATTGTGTACATTTCAAAGGCTACATACTTTTCTGTCTTTAAAATCCTATAATTGCAAAATTCTATTATGGTAATTGTATAATGTATAATTATACATGTATAGTGCATAACTGTAATGATGGGGAGAAACTAATTCTGTGTAGTGATTAAGACATCAGGCTAGAAACTGGGAGACTGTGAGTTCTAATTCCACCTTAGGCACAAAGCTAGCTGGGTGACCTTGGGCCAGTCACTTTCTCTCAGCCCTACCAAGAAGGCAATGGCAAACCACTTCTGAAAACTCTTATCAAGAAAACTGCAGGGATTTGTCCAGGCAGCCTCCGAGAATCAGACATGGTTTTACAGAAGAAATAAATCATGATGGTAAAATAAATAAAACTTAATAAAGTGTATCAGAATACTAATGTATGCCTCATTTACATCAGGGAAGAGGTTCTTTTAGATTCCATTTCATTTTTTTTTCCTGTTGGACGCATTTGTAAAATGGTTGAAAAGAAGCCAGTGGGCTCTGTTCCAGGACCCAGTTTTATCCATTCCACTTTCAAGTAATCCCTTTCTCTGTCAAACTAATGAGTTCACACTAATGATAGAAGCTATGGTTTTCTATAAACTCAGTCCAGAAGAAATAAGCAGTGTTGCTTGAGGATAGGACAATTAAAATTCATAATATATGAAAGGGATTTAAGTGTCTTCCATCTCTCTTTCTTTGTATAGACAGCCTCTCTTTCTTTTTATGAACAGCCTTGTCTGGGAATAGCAAATATAGAAATTCATACCAGTCATTTCATAGAACAAAATTATTCTAGGGTTACAAATTATGATAGAATAGGAAGCAAAAGATTGCAGAGCCTTGAGTTCTTGGGGGGATATATATCTCTTGCACTTCTTATCTGATTTCTGCTAAAGTAAACTAGCTAGCAGTATAGCTATATATTTCTTGGGCATATTGAAAAATAAAAATGATAGGTCTACTTCTACATCTTTGAAGACCTCATTAAGTTCATGACAATTAGTTATAAACACTAAATGTCCATAGTTGATCATCTCTATTAAGTGTCTACTCCAATAAACATTTGCCTGAATAATTTCAAACACACACACACACACACACACACACACACACACACATCTTGAATTTTTACTACAGCAGAAAATGCATTGTTCCAAAACTGAGCATTTTTAATGTTTTGAGTCCTCAGGATATAGATTTTCCAGGGGATTCCACAGGAATGGAAAAAAGAATTGCTGAGTACCTAGCTCCCAGAGAAACTCAATTCTAATCCTGAACATTAAATAACATTACAGAATCCACTTTTACCATTCTAAGCTTTTGATCTAAGTGCACATTTATGTTGAATTAAATTTTGGTACCATCTATGGATCATCCACTTAAGTGCTCAGATACAGAAGCTCTCTGTGAGGATCCTGATATGATTTCTAGGGAAAGTGGCATATTGGTAGGCTATATTCTTGCCATCATAATTCACCTCCCACCTGCTTCTGTTTATATGGTTTAGGCTTCTCGTGTAATCTGACATTTTATTTGTTGATATATTCTGCATATTGAAATAAATTTGTGGCATCAGATATACTTTGCATGAAAAGTATAGATTGATGGCTAGTTCTCCAAAATCTTAATAAACTTGCTGGTACCAGATTATGAAATTTCATATACAGATACATTTCAAAGTGAAATCTCATTTTTATGAAAAAAATATTTAAAAAATTATGGAATTGCTTTTACATTGGGCTCCAATTTATTGTATCAATCCCAGTTAAAACTAGTCTGGCTTTTTACTCAAAATGTCTTTGAGTTTGCACTGAGATCAACAAAGAATCCTGTAGGAGCTTCAAGTTTGTGATGACAAGGCCATAAATTAAGAAAGCTGAGCAGGCTATTGAAGTTTGTGTCAAGAGTGACCAAGGGACATATAAATCACCCTTCCCGTCTCTTTCTGCAACCAGACACTCTCTTCAACACAGCTGATAATTTAGTGAATTCTTCTCTAATCTCCACATTGCTTCTCTGTGGGGATGAGGCTAAGACAGGGGACCTCACTGTCTTCATCAGACCACCAGCTGACCTCTTGCACCAGTCACCCAAGAAAATTTCTTCCAGAGGCACTGCCTTAAATATAAGTGACTGTTGCTTTATCAAATGCTCTTTTACTGTCATCTTGGCAGGAGATCTGATCCAAACCTATGTGCTAAGAGGGTTTTGGTGTCATTTCCTTGTGCAACTTTACATGTTGTATTCTGATGTGGGTAAGATGGTTTCTTTGCCATCTGTTTATTTTACTTATCGCAGAGCAGGAACACACATGTGTAGATAGGGAAGATGCCAGAAATGTGTCTGGCAGATAGAAATGCAAATCAAGAGCTTTAAGAATGAATGCATGACCTTACAGGAAGACCAAGGTGGTTAGTTTATTGTTCTTGACACAACTTTCCTTGAAATGTGCTGACTAAATACTTGGATTAATGTTCTAATAAATACTGTTTTTATACTCCAAAATTCCCCTAGATTTCTACAATGGAGACTGAGATCAGAGGACTTCCCTGATCAAACCAAAGCCCATCTACTTCAATAATTGGACTACCTTCAGCAGGGGTGGGTTCTAAAATTTTTTACTACCGGTTCTGTGGGCGTGGCTTATTTTGTGGGTGTGGCTTGATGGTCATGTGACAATTATTTAGGATTTAGCAGAGGTACTGGTCTACCAGGCTTTTAACTGCTTGCAGAGCTGTACCGATCTACCCATTTATTTTTGCAGGCACTGATCTACTCATGTATTTTTGGAGGCACTGGTCTATCCATTTATTTTTTCAGGGACTGGTCTACTCATCTGTTTTCTTTTAACACTGATCAGCTGTAGGGCGGCCCTTTGAAGCCCCGCAGCAAGAGTTTAAACAGTTTTTTTCCCTCTAGCCATCAGCTGGGACTCACGAGGCAGCAATAGATTGAGGGTGGGGCCAAATAAAAGGTAAGAATAATGTGGGGGTGGGGGGAGCGGAGGGGTGGGAGCCAGGGGGTAGAACTGGTTCGGTGATGTCATATTGTCACTGCTCGGCTCGGCGGAACCGGGCCAAACTGGGAGGAACCCACCACTGACCTTCAGAAAGTCTTATCAATTTCCTGCTCCAGGCCACTCAACTACTAAAGCAAAGGTGCAAGAGCTCATCATGCAATCCTCATGAATGCATTGCATGTCAAACTCAGAAGCCTTCCAACTAGGGTTGTCACCAAATTACAATTTATTATGTGACTACAGGCAGAAGTTACTGATTGCAGAGAAATCATATTAATTTTAATTCAATGAAAATGGCAAGCCAATGTAGCGTTATTCTAATCCCACCCATTTTTTTTTCCCCCAATACATCCCTAGCCACAGCATTTGAAAGGCACCAGAAGCTTTTCCAGGTTGAGTCAACAGCCCCAAGAAATATTCTTAAAATATCAAAGGTGAACTGTCCACATTATGGAATGTAAACTAGGATTGCCAATTCTTTTTAGAGGAGTATTCATTTTGATGTCTGGGAACCTAAACTGGAGTTTTTAAAAAGTTGTGTGTTATCAAAAGAAAAGGCCTAGGGCCAGATTCATTTAAAAGCAAAATACAGGCTGATTATCACAGGAAAATACATGTTGGGCAAGACAGAATATTTTTTTTCATGGGTTCTTTTCTTTTGGGACTGAACTGAGATTCCAGATCATGCTTCCTGAAAACTACTTCCTTGAAATTTTCAAAACCTGCTAGATATATAACCATATTTTAGCATTTTAGACATATTTCAGCGGGTAATGGTTGTAGCTATATGCTGATATACAGATAGTCCTCGATTTACAACAGTTCGCTCTGTGACCATTTGACGTTACGACGGCACTGAAAAAAATGACTTATGGCCATTTTTCACACTTACGACTCTGCAGCAGCCCCATGGTCACGTGATTTACATTCACTCGGTCGTGAGTTGAGGACTACTTGTATTCGGATATACGCTGCATACTCAGATCACATTATTTTAATCTGGTCTTGAATTTGTCCTGGAGAACTATTACTACTTCATAGTCTCAGAATAGCTCATCAGTTCAGGAAAAAGGAGATGAACATGAAAAAAGGGCACAAAGCAGGGGTGGGTGCTGGGGGTTTGCAGGGGTTCGGGAGAACCTCTAGCTAAGATTCTGTGCAATTCGGAGAACCCACAAATCCCTCTCCTGGCTGGCCCTGCCCACCCCACCCCACCCCTCCCAGGAGTCCCCATGTGGCCCATTTTTGATGCAGGTAAGTGCAGGGCGCGCGTGGAGGCTTGGGGAGGGAGAAAAACAAGCCTACCAGAGGTTCGGGCTCGTTTACAGCCTCCAGAGGGCCTCCGGAGCCTGGGGAGACTGTTTTTGCCCTCCCAGAGGCTCAAGGAAAGCCTCCAGAGCTCAGGGAGGGCATAAAAGCCTCGCCCGCCATGGTGCAGGAGGCCGACTAGGCCACGCCCGCCATGGCCATGCCCACCCAGCAACCAGGCAGAGAACCCCTTGCTAAAATTTTTGAAGCCCACCCCTGGCACAAAGGCAATACTGTGTTTGGTAATTATAACTGTAGACTCTGTGCATTTATTCCTTGAGACTAACCAAGCCACAAACTTCCTTGCCTTTTCTTTGAACCAACTCTCCTGAAAACATCCCTGGGTCTAGACAGCTTACAAAAATATTGTTTCCTCATAGTTGAAATCCCTAGTTCCCTTTTAGCTGTTCTGTCCTTTAAAATCCTCACTGATGACTCTACTTAAAAGGAATTGCCCTGAGCAAAACAGAACATGCAAGCCATTGTATTCAGCCCA